ACAGAATCAACAATATGAGACACAGAATGACCAGAAACTGTAAACCTGTCATCTATCGATCGGCTAAAGAGCAGCTATGATGTTTGTGAAACTGAAACATGAGGTCCAGGACAAGAAAACACACAAATAAATGTTGTTTCAAGTGTTTAAATTAGTGATTAATGCTTTAATAAGAGTGTTTAATGATGATGCCATCTTATAATTTGGGCACATTTACTTTTAACCACTAAAAGGGCTTTTTTGTGATAAAAAATCCTAAATAATCTGCTGATATTCCCCGTAGTGCTCACCGTGTCGCATCAGAGCACGTTTTACACCAGAAGCTCAATAAAAGGCTAATTCTGCCCTTTAATGTCTCAATCTGCTTTTATCTGTTTTTATTTTCTGCTGCAGCTTCTTCCTCGTCTCAGCGTTTAAACTACAGACGGAGCGTAAACGCTGCCAGAGGCTCCATCAGCAGTTTAAATAAAGCAAAGAAACAACAAAGCGACGAAGTGGAGCGACGATTAGAGGCGACGGCAGACTGGAGTCAGAGCAGGAGGTAAACACAGAAACTCTGCCGAGGAAAGGAAGAAAAAAAACGTTGGTCACATAAAACCAACAGAAACAGAAGCTTCCCGCCAGACGTCGCCTCGGCCAGACGGTGGAACGAGTGACGGTTCTACAGAACCCAGAAGAAGCTCTGAGGAGGAGCCGATCCCTGACGAGTGAAACAACGTAAAGAGGTGGAATAAAGAAGAACGGTTCATCCTGCAGCCACGGAGGCCAGACCAGGTCCCAAACCGGTCTGAAGTCAACCAAACACCAAGTCTGAAACCAGGTTTAAACCAGCTCCAACCCAAGTAGAACCGGTCCAGAAACAGACCTTAAACCAGCCCAAAGCTACGTTCAGAAACTACTGAAAAACCAGGTTAAAAACTAGGGTGAAAACCAGGCTAAAACTAGTTCCAATCCAAGTCTGAAACCAGTTTAAAAACAGTCCAAAACCAGGTTAGAAACCAGGCTGAAACTAGTTCCAATCCAAGTAGATCCAGTCCAAAAAAGGACCTATAACCAGCCCAAAGCTACGTTCAGAAACTGCCCAAATCAAGTCTGAAACTGGGACAAAACTACTTCAAAACCAGGTTCAAAACTAGTTCAGAACCAGCCCAACATCAAGTTATGAAACCAGGCTAACACTAGTCCAAAATCAAGTTTGAAACCAGCCTACAACAAAATTAGAAATTAAAAGTTCTAAATCTGTCCAAAACCAAGTCAGTAACTATTCTGAAGCCGAGTCCAAAACCAAACCTGACACCAGTCTAAACCCAGTCCAGAGACAACTGCAAAACCCGCCCAGAACCATCCCAGAACCAGCCGACAGTATCTATGTTTAGTGTTTCAACACAAAAGGAAAACAGCGTCACTTCTCGCGCCGTGGAGCTGGAAGCAGCTTTTCCAGTAAACAAAGGTTTCTCCCAGAATATCCGACGGTGGGAGGCTTCGGGTCGCAGAGTTCTGCCTCTCAGCCCATTCTGACTGACTCAACAGTTCACAACCAGAAAAACTGGTTTTAAACCCAACACCGGAGCGTGCTGAAACACACTTAAACCCTCGGATCAGAACAAGTTTCTGCTCAGTGTGGTGATTAGACGACTTCATATTTAACAGGAAGTTCAGTCGCGTACAGAAGCTCCTCCGAACACGTCGAGAGAAAAGACAAACATGTTACGGCAAATAAATAAAACCCATAAACAGGTCCAAACACGGGTTGGAAACCAGGTTAGGAAGAGTCCAAAACCAAGTTAAGAACTAAGCTGAAACTCGTCCAAACCAAAGTCTAAATCCGGGCTAAAACAGAATTTAAACCCAAAACAATCCAAACCAAACAGGTGAGAACCCGTCTAAAACCCAGACAGAAACCAGACTCAAACCAGTCCAAAACAAGGTTCAAAACCAATCTGAGACAAACTTTGGAACCAAATTAAAAACCAGGTTCCAAACCAGTTCAAGATAAGACCAAACCAAGTTAGAAACCAGGCCAAAAACATTCCAAACATGGTACGAAACTGGGCTAAAACTAGTCCAAGACCAAGTGTGAAACCAGTTAAAGAGAAGCTTTGGAACCAAATGGAAAACCAAATACCAGACCAGTTTAAAGAAAGTTCAAAACCAAGTTAGAACCCAGGCTAAAACTAGGTTCAAAACTAGTTCCAAACCAGTTCAAGATAAGCTCAAACCAAGTTAAGACCAGGCTAAAACTGGGCCCAAGCAGAGTCCAGGTGAGTGACTGACCGGGTCGTGTCTAAGCTGAGTCCAGCTCATGACGGTTTTCACACGTCTAACTTTGCTGCCACATTCCAGCAGAAGCTCAACGTAAAGCCTGATCAGGAGCTGGTGCTGCGTCAGCGTATGGAATATGAAAACACCAACGGGGAACAAAATGTTTTGCTCTCTTTGATGTTTTTGAGGAAAAAAGCGGCCGAGGAGGATCCAGAAATAGCGAGTCGGAGTTTTCTAAATCCTAGAAACAATAAACCGAACCGGAGCCCAGCGCCGGCGACGACAACACACCCACACCGAGGAGAGAGGAGGCCTGGAAAAATTCATTATGGTGTTTGGGCTGGAGAGGAAGAGGTGGGGAGACGACGGCAGACGGGCGACATATATATAAAAATCACAGCACAGCAGCTCGCTGCATGTGAATGGACGTTATGTAAGGCCACGGAAAATAGACGTGGTGGCAGAACGAAAACACGAGCCCAACGAAAACACGAGCCCAGATACTACAGCAAACACAAAGGCTGCACCGCCGAGGACGTCTGAGTGTGTGTGTGTGTGTGTGTGTGTGTGTGTGATGTTGACATTTAGAGGCAGTAAGTGTGTAGGCGTTGGGTTGCAGCGAAAAGGCCACAGTGTGTAACACTACAGTGGGAGGCCATGACTGACATCTGTGTGGAGTTGTTGTGCGTGGGAGGAAGTGTGTGTGTGTGTGTGTGTGTGTGTGTGTGTGTGAAACCAGGTCAAATCAAACCATCAATCTGCAGAATGTGAACAACAGCAGCTTCAACCAGACTCCATTCAAAATATGCGCGTTTCTATTCTTGCAGGCTTTTTAAAAATGAACCTGCTGAGCAACACTCAGCCCAACAGCTTTAAATAAAGCACAAGGACCCGCGCCGCAGGTCGGCACACATCGAGTCACTCGGTTCAAAGAAATGCTGCTGTTGTTTGAAAAAAGTGCATCAGAAGGAGGCTGAAGGCTGGAAACCCTGAGAAGTGTCACACATAGAGCAAGACTCTGAAAACGTAGAAGACACACAGCACGAGGAAACAAAAACCAGTTCAGAGAGTCAAGCAGATTTCACTACTAACGTTAAACAAGTATGAAAGGTAAATTAGACACCAGGGAAAAACCCAGGTCTAGTTTCAAACCTGCCCAGAATAAGGATCCAAACCAGTTTAAAATGAGCTAAAACCAAGTATTGGAAGCAGTTTTAGGTTTAAAAGGTCAAAGCTAAGTTAGAAAGCAGGTTAAGACGAGTCCAACCAGCTGGAAACAAACCACATTTAACAGGTACAAAAACCGAGTTAGAAAGCAGGCTAAGAGTCGTGCAAGACCAAGTCTGAAACCAGTCCAAGACAAACACAGAAACCAGTTCAGATTAGATTAGATAGAACTTTAAACCAAGTGTCGAAACCCTGTAGAAACCAAGTTCTAAACCAGTTTAAAACCAATGCAGAACCAGGTTAGAAACCCGGCTACACGTACAAGAACAGTTTAAGACAAAGTTGGAAATAAAGTTCCAAAACAAGTTTCAAACCAAGTTCCAAATCTGCCCAAAATCAAGATCCAGAGCAGCTGAAAACAAGTCAAAACCAAGTCAGAACCCAGGTCAAGACTAGTCCAAAGTAGTCCATGAACAGGCCTGAAACCAGTTTGGAACACCGTTCAAAAGCAAGATCCAAACCGGTTTAAACCAGGACAAAAAACAGGTTTAAGAGCAGCTGGCAATGAATATGTTCAAAACCAGTCCAAAACCAAGATCCAAACCAGTTCAAAACGAGCCGAGAACAAGACAGAGACCAGGTTAAAAGTGGTCCAAATACAGGTCCAAGACCAGCTGGGAACAAATACGAACATAAAGTCCAAAACCAAGTCAGAACCCAGGCTAAGACCATAGTGAAACCAAGTCTAAAACCAGTCCACCAAAACATGGAAACCAGTATAAATGTAGTCCACAACCAAGTTCTAAACCAGTTTAAACCCAATGCAAAGCTGAATTAGAAATCAAACTGAACGCTGTCCTGAATCCAAATTTCAAACCTGTTTAAAACCTTCCCAAAACCAAGATCCAAACCAGGTGAAAACAAGCCAAAACCAAGTTAAAAACCAAAATAAAACCAAAATAAAACCCATTCAGAGAGTCTGACTGATTTCACGGTCTGAAAACGAGACGAAGGTGTGAATCTGTGCTTACGTGGACGTGAGAAGCTGCCTCGTACGAAGCTTCAGCACAGACGCCTGCACACAAGCTGAAGACGGTCTTCATGTCTGAGCCTCATGAGGTTCTGCTGGTATCTGACAGAGCCGGGTTCATGAGCAGCCCCTGATTCTGGTCGATTCTGGAGGAAACCCTGTAGCTCTGAACAGCTGCACTTCATCAGCTCGTCTCCGTCAGCTGGTTCCACTTCTTTAGAAACGTTTCCTACCTTGTCGCTGTCCACGGTGTTCTGGGACGTCCTGGAGGCGATGGAGATGGTGTCCGGCTGGCTGCTGCCGTCTCCCTGGCTGTCCCCGTCCTCACCTCCCTCCCTGGAAACACAAAAAAATCACCAAGAATACGTAAAATCACCATAAAACAACACAAAATCCCCAGAAAAGCACACAGACTGTCAACAAAAACAACCAAAAGACACAAAACTCACAATATCACCAACGAAGACAAATAAGCCCAAAAAGACACAAAGTCTTCACAAAAAAGAGGCAAAATCCCCACATACATTCCAAATATCCCCCAAAACACGTAAAACCACCACAAGCAGAAGAAAACCCCCCCCAAAAAAAGTTTTAAAAATTAAAGTTGGAAATGAAGCTTATAGCCAGTATAAACAGTTTGAAACCAGTTTAAAAACCTGCCCAAAATCAGGATCCAAACCAGTTGAAAACTAATCAAGACAAGTTCAGAACAAGTACAGAACTACCGTTAGAAAATCGAGTCTGAAGCCAGTCTGAAACCAGTTCAAAAACAGTTGTGAAACCAGTTTTAAACCAGTCCAAAAACAGTCCTGAAACCAGTGTGAAACCAGTTTTAAANCTTTCTGGTGATTTTGTCTCTGTGGGGATTCTGAATTGTTCTGAGTTGTTTTTTAAACTTTCCTGTGGTCATTTCTTTATTTTTTCATCGATTATGCAAATTTTCTGGCAATTTCACTTTTTTTGTGGTAATTTTGCTTCTATTTGTGCTGATCTTTTGCTCTTTCTTGATCATTTCACTTTTTTTTTTGTTGATTTTGTGTCTTTTTGTATCTTTTTTGATGATTTTAGACTTTTTTTTGCTTCTTTTGTGCTGATTTCGATTCACGTTTCGTTGATATTTGTGTCTACGTGTTGATTTTACACCTTTTTTTGTAAGAACTTTGAATTTCAGGGCGATCATTTGTGTCTTGTGGTCGTTGCTTTGAGCATTTTTTAAATCTTTGCTGCTGTTCTATCAGCCCGTCTGAGCTTCAGACACGAGGACGTTCTGCTTCCCGTGAGGCTCCACCTGCTCGGACGTCTTGTAAAAGGCGACGGACGCGTTGACCAGCTTCAGACGATCCTCCATCTTCAGCATCAGCTGCTGCCAGTGGACGGCCACCTTCTCTGCACAGCTCCGGATGGCCTCCGGGTCGTAGTGGCCCGCCTGCAGCATCATCTGACGACAGAAGAGACAGAGTTCAGCAGCTGGAAGCAGAACCGTGAGAGGAGGCGGCGCCGGCAGGAGGCGGGCACTCACCTCGGCCTTCTGCTGGACCTGCAGGGCGCTCTGGTGGGTCTTCTGCAGGGAGTTGGCGTGAAACAGAGACTGCAGGAGAGAAGAGAGCAGATCTGGTTACCATCAGCCAAATTACCTTCAATTATCACTGAGTCACGAGCTTAAAGAGCAGTTTGTATCAGCGGTGGTCTGAACCAAATGTCAGCCATCAGGCTTCAGGCTGCAGGCGTCGAATAAACCTCGTTCACATGAAGAGTCCCGGCGGCTTCGCTTCGCTGTCAGAGAACTTCAGGAGGGAGTTTGGTACTAAAGCGGCCTCAAAATGAGGCGAAACGTAAAGTTTTCCTCACAAAAGGACTAAATTAAGCCTCTGAATAGCCAGAAAAATAGAAATTAATTAATAATATTAATTAATTTTATCATTTGTTATTCNCCAAAGTAGCCCCAAAGTAGCCCCACTTATGTAAAATAACTTAAAAATGAAATAAAAAGTTCTGATTTCCAGCCTTCTGATGGTCCTGAACGTGTCCAAAACAACAGAACTGAGACACAGAACAACAGGAAGCAAGAAAACTGTCTCCTAAAGTCTGTAGAAACGTCATTTTTCATGATTTCTATCAGTCACGCTGCCACAAAGCTTGTCCAAGACGTCGCTTCAAATGAGAAACAACACGACTTGAAGTCCAAACTGATAAAAAAACTGGAAAAAAACAAAACTCAGAAATGACCTAAAACGACAAAAATCTGTCGTAAACAGCTTCAGCTCGGACACAGTGACGTGGAAAGTTCTTCTGCTTGGTGCCGCTCTAACAGTCTGGTCCTGACAGCAGACTGAGGAGCTGCAGGACTGGACGTCCAGGACTCTGAGGTCCGACCCGGACCGTCCCACTGACCTTTGACCTGCTGCTCCGGGCCTCTGGTGTGTCCGGCCGCTCCCTGCATGCTCACGTTGTTCCGGTGGATGTACTTCAGGAACACCTCGGCGTTCCTGCGAGCCAGAGTGCAGGCCTGAAAAACACGGCGCCGGTCCGTCACTCATTCAGAACCAGGAAGTGATTCAGTGGCTCTAATCTGCCCGGCGACAGGCGACCCACCTTGAGGAAGGCCTCCTTCTGCTCCAGGTGTTTGCTGATCAGAGGCAGGAGGTGCTCGCTGTCGGCTGCAGCTCCCAGCTTGTCCAGACTGCTGCACCAGTCCTCGTCGCGCCGGTACTCCTGCTCCAGGCTCTCCAGCACGCTGCACACCTGCAGACACACACACAGGTGGGACGTCACACACTGTCAGGCTGCATTAAGTCTTCTTGTTGTGACTTTCATGTGTTTTTCTGCAGATTCTGTATCGTCTTGCTTCAGCATCTCCTTGCTGTGATCGTGTCTCTTTGTGGTGACTTCACACATCTTCAGGTGATGTTGTGTCTTCTTGTTGCCTCTTTCTCTGCAGACTATGCGTTGCGTGTTTTTGGTGATTTAGCGTCTATATTCTGTCATTGTGTCAGAATTGTTCTGATTTTTCGGGGTGATTTTGAATTTCTGTGATGATTTAGCCTCATATTTTTGTTTTTCTGAGGATTTTGCATCATGTTGTGCTCATGTTGCACTTGGNCTGTAGACAGAAGTTCCCTAAATGCAACTCCGTCATCAGTAGATGGTGTATTTAACATATGTTCCATAAACGCCTCACAGTCATCAAGTAGAAGCTGTAGTATACAGATGTTCCCTAAACCCTTCATAGTTATCAGTAGACAGATGTTCCCTAAACGCCTCACAGTCTTCAGTAGCTGCAGCTTACGAACGTTCCCCAAACACCTCACAACCAGTAGACAGATGTTCCCTGAACGCCTCACAGCTATCAGTTTACAGATGTTACATAAATGCCTCATAGTCCTCAGTAGATGCTGCAGTTTCCAGATGTTCCCAAAACGCATCACAATCAGTAGACAGATGTTCCCTAAATGCAACACTGTCATCAGTAGACGGTGTAGTATCCGGATGTTCCCTAAATGCCTCACAACTAGTAGACAGATGTTCCCTGAACACCTCATAGTCCTCAGTTGATGCTGATGTTTCCAGATGTTCCTGAACGCCTGAGTTCTTGGTGGATGTTTCCAGATGTTAGTTGAAACGCTGTTTTTTCTGTAGAACAAGTTTATTGTGGAATTAAAGCGACACTTTTTTAGTCACTAAACGAGTCTCTTTTCATCGTCTGCACTCGGTTCGTGACAGTTTTTAGTTTTCTGGTGTCAGAAGCCGAACAGGCGACGCTTCAGACGACGTTCTGACTAAAACTCAACAACGTTTGAGTTCAGACTCTCAGAGAGAAACCGGCTCATCTTCTAAACCGAATCCGTCCGTTTATCAGCTGTCAGACAGTAAAACCAGGAACACGAGTCGGTCGCTGCACATCTGGATGAAGCGTGGTCGAGTCGCTGAGGTCGATCTAAACGTCACATCTGTCTGTGGCTCACTTGTTGTGGAAGTCGTAGATCTCCTGCATGTTGCCGAAGACCACGTGCTCCTTGTTGGCGATGCCGGCCGGGACCTCCTCCACGCCGCTCGTCATCTCAAACAGGTACGTCTGCACAGGAAGCGGGGGTCAGAGGGTTTCAGAATAAAAGCACACAGCAGAGGGACGGACAGACGGCTCTCACCTCCAGACACTCGTGCAGATCTCTGACGTAGGTCTTCTCCGTCTGCAGCAGCTCGGCCATGATGAACCTGCAACGGCACAAACAGTCAGACGGACTGAACTCTGTCCATCTGGTCTGGAAGCTGGAGAGTTAGGAAAATAAAACGCTGCTAAAAGCTGAAACGTCAGCACGTTCTAAGGTTTAAACACAACTTTTATGACCAGAGCTCGAGTTTCAGCTTTTTACTGCATCCAAGGTTAAAAAAAAAGAAGAAGAAGCTGTTTTTATGACATCAATTAAAAAAAAAAAAAAAAAGTGGCGCTTTTTTACAGCGTTCTAGTTTCAACAGCACTTCATTAAATTTAAAAACAAACTTTTTTTTCCCCCAAATGTTCAATTTTAATGTTTTTAAAAGTCTGGGAAAAAACATCTCTTTTCCGCGTGCACTAAGTGTAACGCCACTTTGTTTTACAGCCGGAGGAAAAAAGTTTGAACACAACGCAGCTTTAAATAAAAGCTTCAGTTTCAACTGCATGTTTTAGAGCGTCAGCATTAAGAAAATGTTTTTTTTTACTCGACTTCGTTGTCAAAAGCAGAAACGTGATAATTTTTTATTCCACTTTTTTCCGCAGCAAAAGCACAAAAAGTGACATTCGTGATGCCACACTAACAAAAAAAAAGCTGTTCAGCCACATTTTATACCATCAAAAGAGAAAAAAGTCAAAGGTATTAAAAAAATAGTAAAGTGTAATTTCATGTTGTGGTTGAGTGACGACGCTGCGTCACCAGAAACATGCACGACTTTAAATAAAATGTTTTTATGACATGAAAAGTAAAAAAGTGTTTAAAGAAAGCGTTAAAATTTCAATTTTACGCCCTGAAAAATCAAAACAGAGAAACTTTTGACAGTTTCAAAGGTAAAAAACCTGAAATTCTTTACAATGCTCTAATTAAAACTCTGGTTTTTAGCAGAAAAATCTTTTTATGGTGTCAAAAACCCAAAACCTGCACTTTGTACAGAGTCAAAGGTATTTAGAAAAAAAGGAGTACGGCGCAATTTTTTATTGTGTTTGAATCACAACGCTGCGTCGCCAAAAGCTAAAAAACAAACAAGTGTTCTTATGACATTAGAAGTAAAGTGTCGCTTCAAGAGACGCTTTGACGGCGCTCTGGTCTCATCAGGACGTTTTGTGGTTTCAGAAGTACAAACCTGACTATTTTTGCAGCGCTCTAACTCCAACGCAGCCTTTTAAGCCGTCAAAGCAGAAAAATCAGCATCTCACTGCGTTTTTAACCATTTCAACACCGTTTCACTCTAATTAAAGCGACACTAACGAGCTGAAGGAGCCTCTGAGGTAATAAAGGTCTGATTCTTTGAACGATGTGACGCCACTCCTTCTCTTTTCTGTTCAGGACTCACTCCTTCTTCCGGGCCGACTTCCTCTTCTCCTCGTTGATCTCGTGGTTCGGGTCTCGCAGCTTGACCTCGGGGTCGTCGCTCAGGCTGGCCGGGATGATGTCCAGCTCCAGGTCCTTGTTGTCCTGCAGAGAGCCGAGCGTCAGCGAGCTGCAGGGACTCGTAGCGGCGGGACGGCGGCGTGGTTTCTAGCGGTCCTTACCTCTGAGCTGACCCCCAGGCTCCTCTCCAGGCTCTCCTGGTACTTGGCCATGCGGACGGAGAAGTCCCGGTACCGGCGGTCCACGGTGCTGACCCAGCGCTTCAGCTCCGACACGTGGGCGTGGCCTTTCTCCACCAGGTTGTCGGCCAGCTGGATCAGCAGCTTCACCTTCTCCTTGGTTTGCTGAGGGACAAAGTCACAGACAGAGAAGCCGATGACGAGCTGCGATGGAAAAGTTCAGGGACCGACGTCAGACAGGAACACCTGAGCCTCACCGGGTCAAACACGTTTAGATCTGCCTCCATAAACATGAGCAACAAGCAGGAAAAGACTTTAAATTAATCTGTAAAACTAAATGAGAGAAACAACAACAACAACAAAACGGCAAAACAGGAAGTCAGCTTCAAAGATCAAAAACAAAATACTGAAATATTCGTACCTGGGAAATTTTTGTCTCTTTTTTCTTTTTTTTTTTAAATTTCAAAATAAATAATCAAAGAAATTAAACTTTTTTTTCACGTATGAATGAAGACGTTAAATAACGAGTTGTTTTTTTTCCATTTTTTTCAGGTGATTCGAATCAAAATGTCTCTTTTTACACCATCACAAGCTGAAAAACACAGACTGCTGAACAGACGGACTTGGTGCTGGACGGACTCGGTTCTGGACGGACTAACTCGGTTCTGGACGGACTCGGTTCTGGACGGACTGACCTTGGCCGTGAGTCTGAAGTGATGGCAGTCGCTGAGCAGCTGCTGCGTCTCCTCGCTGCTGTCGCCGGGCGCCGTGTGCGTGGCCAGGTACACCTCACCCGTCTCCTGGATCCAGTCCAGCGCCTGCACACAAACCAAACCGGGCCCTCAGTCTTTTGTTGGGTCAGAACCGTTCTAACCGGCGACTAAACGGAGCAGGCGTGCGGCCCACCTGCTTGGCGCTGCGCTCGAACACCAGGTACTGCTGGCACTGGTCCAGCCGGCGCTTCTTCAGGGTCCAGAAGTGCAGAACCCGGTTCTCCCGCTGCAGCAGCTCGTTCAGGATCGCTGCACGACAACGAGAATAAACACGATTAACACGCAAAGAAACCTGATGATTAAACCAAACTGTGCTGCTGAAGACTTTAGATCATAAAAGAAGGAAATTCTGCACAAAGAGACTCGTTTAGCTTCAATATAGTCATAATAATAATATAATAATAATAATAGTAATGATGAAAAAATAATATTANGTAATATTAGACCAATAGATGAAATAATCTGATTATAGGTGAGTTAAAATATGAAAAAAGTCCCTCTTTGAGCTCATTAACAAAACAAATAATAAGAGAGTGATGTTTTCTGAACCACATACAGGCCACAGAAATATAAAACACACAGAATACTGTTAATGTGAAATACTGGGTCACAAAAATACAAAAAGTTTTGTTTTTAAGTTTCAGAACTATTTTGAGCTTTACTTTTTCTTTTTCTTTTTTTTAATAAATTGCCCGTTGACTTCCTGTTAGCAGGTTTTTCATATTTAAACGTGGATCTTATCGATATTTTCCAGTTAAAGACAACAACAGTGAACGTTTCAGGTTTTTATCTTTAATAGTTTCTCACGTTTTTAAGTTCAAAGAGCCTCAAACGTTAAAACAAATCGGCTGAAAGTGGGTCGACGAGCAGCTCGGACATGTTTTGATGAAGTATTTTATGTGTAAAAGTAAATTTCTTTATAAACGTCCATATTTTGTGCGACACCATTTCCAGGAAACGGGTCGAGCAGAACCTCTGTGTGTTCTACCTGAAGCCTGGACCTCCATGATGTACTGGTGCAGGTCCTGGCCCTGCTGCATCACTTCGTACGTCATGTTGTTCATGGCCGCCTTCCTCTCGGCGTGACGCTTCAGCCGCTGCTCCGCCAGGCCGATGTCCTCCGAGCCGCCAGAGGAGGCGCCGCCGCTCCCGCCGCTACCGCTACCACCGCCGCCCGAACGGCCGGCGTCGCTCAGCTGACGGGAAAGGTCCTCGTTCCAGGCGTCCAGCTCGGCCGTGACCTGCCGGCAGAACCAGGATCAGAGCTGGACGTGAAACANCGAGCGAGGGGCTTTTCCTCTGCACACGTTTATTTAAAGCTCCGCCGAGCGTCTGCATCTGGTCCCGCTCACACTGAAGTAATTACTGCACAAAGCCCGGTTCTACAAAGAGTCCATGCTGAAGCAATCAGGACCGCAGCGGACCCGGCCAGAACCAGGAAGCGGGTGAGTCACCTCGATGGCCATCTGGAACTGCTCGTGCTCCTTCTGCAGCTGCTCGGCCTCCGACAGCGAGCTGGCGTTCACCATGCTGGCGTTGAGCATCGACTCGCCGTTACGGATCCAACCCAGCACCTGGACACGGGACATGGAACACAGGTCCAATACAGAATATGTTAAAGTCACGTAAAATACGGGTCCAACCCGACACCTGGACACGGGACACGGAACACAGGTCCAATATAGAATATGGTAAAATATGTGAAATGATGTTAAAGTCACAGAGAACACAGGCTGAATTTAAAATATGTGAAAATCAATCAAAATAGAGAAATAAATAAATGTAAAAATATGTTTTTAAAAAATTTTAAAGAGAAAGAAAAAATAACAAAATACAATGTAAATGTAAAAATAACTAAGTAAATAAATAAATAAACAAGGAAAAAGAAATAAAATAACATAAAATAAAATTCAAATGTAAAAAAATTTTTTTTTTTAAAAAGAGAGAGAGAGAAACAATAACAAAATACAATTTAAATGTAAAGATCAAACAAACAGGTTACATGTTGAGATCTGAGAGTGTGGAAGTTAAACTAAACCAAAAAGTTCCCACAAATGTGTTTTTTTCTGCAATTATTTTTTAACAATTTACTGTTTTACAGAGTTTTTTCCTGTTTAAGTTCTCGTTATGATCCGTGATTTAAGAAAACAGAGAAAATCTAAAAAAAACAAACAAACAAACAAATCAAACCTTTTTTTTAATCATTCTTTAAAAGTTTTTTTTTTTTGATAATTTAAATACAACAAAAAAAACGTGTAATTTTAAAGCATACATTCATGAAAATACAGATTTGGGTTTGTTTTTTTGTTGTTGTTTTTTTTCTTTATTTTAGTGTTGTTGTTAACTACAGATAGGACCCAGTAAAATAACATTACAACTAAATATTACTAATTTAAATGTAATATTAAAATGTGCAGTGAAGCATATAATAAGCAGAACTGTAAACCGCGTCCACATATTTTAGTTTTTGGTGTAAATACAGTTTTTTTCAGGTCAGCTGGAGCAGATTCCTGTTGAGTCAGTTACAGACGGCAGCAAAACCACATCATCACTTCTTATTTGTTTCAAGAGAAAAGAAATTTTAAAAAACTAAATAAATAAAACGAGACTCATAAAGAGAAAGCGTTGATTTGTTCAGCTTCAGGAAAAACTCCTAAAAAGATCTTGGAATATCAAATGTTAAGGCTTTCTGCATCTTAGTTGGTGTTAGTCGATGATTTAAATGTCGAGGAGCTTCGTAGGATCATTTAGAGGCTTTTCAATCAATCAGTCGTCGTTTATCAGTCGGCTGAAAGGATCTCTGAATTAAATCCTCCACAAAATGTGTGATATTTAGATAAAGGCGCTCTGGTGAAGTCCAGAGAGTTCAGATGAACTAGTTCATCCCTGAAGGAGCTCCGTGGACGTTTAGAGGTTCTGCTTTTGTTGTTTCTGTCGCCCTCGAGCTCAGGACGACCAGAACCAGCAGAAACCACCAGAACCACCAGAACCAGCAGAACCAGCAGAAACCACCAGAACCAGCAGAAGCCACCAAAACCAGCAGAACCAGCAGAAACCACCAGAAACCAGCAGAACCAGCAGAACCAGCAGAAACCAGCAGAACGTCGGTTTCAGCATCTTTATAATTTAAACGACATTTATTGTGATGGCTGTGTGTCTGTGTGTTATTAGCAGGATGCAATAAAGCTGATAAATTATTCAGCTGCATCCATCTGCAGCAGCAGCAGCAGCTTCCCGTCTAAGCAGCACGTTTGTATTCACGTCTGCAGACACAAACACTCCGGCAGCCTCCCTTTACTTCCTCTGGTCTCTGGTAACGAAGCTTCGGGGTCGAGCTTCCTGCAGCAGGTGAGCCGTTACCTGTTTGACTTCGGCCTGCAGGTGGCGCAGCTGCAGGCTCTGCTCCAGCCGGCCGTGGGTGTGCTGAGCGCTCAGCTCCACCTCCTGCTGCTTCTCGTGGAGGAACTCCAGCAGCTCCTGGACCTGGGAGGCCAGATCCATGTCCTTCTCCCCGGTCAGCTCGATGCCTGATGGCACACAAACAGCAGCGACTTTAACTCCACATTTGTCAGAGCTTTGACAACGTGTGACCAGAACATGAGGCTAAAACTGTGTTGTTCAAACTGTAATGTTCAGAATCCACAGAAAGACCGACAGAAAACAACTGAGACCAGACGGAAAACAACAAAAACGACAAAAATAAGATTAAAAAAGACCACGCAGAGACACACAATGAAAGAAAAACAGACAGAAACTTATAAAACTGACACAAAACTGTCTGTGAGAGTTTCAGAGGAGGTGAAAATAGAAATGTTAAAGATGCAAAACTGTAATAAAGAGACACAGAAGAAGAAAAAAATGGCATAAACACACAAAATTAAGATACAGGAGACAAAAAAGAGCAAGACGAGACCAGACGAGACACGAAACG